TGAGGGGCTTCCCATCCTTCTTCTGCCTCTTGTCTATGTCTGCATATTAATCAAGTATCTGAAATATGCATATGAGAAGTAACCATTTATACTATAGTAGTTATAGCTTTAATTGTAAATTTGATGTATAATAATTTGAACCATTTTTTTTTCATGGGCTGTGCTCATAATTTGTTCATTGTATTATTTCCAATCCATTTTCCACAGCTGCAATCTGAATAAATGGCTCAATTATAGTTAGTTTATCCTTTAATATTCACTGTGCCTCATGGAAAACTTTGAAAGAAATATTCTATTTAAAGACAATTATGCTTAAATATCATGGTTTTCTAAAGACATTTGCATGAAAACAAATGCATGAAGAACTCATTTTCCTCTTCCATACTCCTGTCTGCAGTAATAATTCTCCCGCGTGACATCATAATCAACTGTCATATGATACAATATCACAGTTCAGTGTTACTAGAATTTTCTGGCTTGGACACACAAATAAGTAGCATGGCTTGAAAACCAGGCATAGCCATCATTTTGCTTCTGAAAATTGGATAGTTCTGATTTAGGAATCATTAAGAAATAAATGCTGTCAATAGATACACTGAAAATAGGTAAATCTGAAAACATTTGCTTATGTAGTCTGTTTTTAAAAATAAGCAAACTGAAACAAGTTTGAACTTGCATTAAAAAACTCTTTTGTATGGTTTTCTTCTTTTTCAAAAATTACCTTTTTTCCTAGTGGCAACTTTCATTTTAGGAAATGATACCTTGTGATAGATTTGTTCGGTGAGTTATCTGGTCCAGAACTTGTGAAAATACAGGCAGCTTACGAAACGTTCATTTCTCCTTTGCACTGTTCTTTTTCATTGCACTTAAAAGTATGAGCCTCAAGGCAGAATTTTCTTGCAGACTGTGGATTCCCATAAAGTAGCCATTGTGTAACTGCTACTCTGCTATACTGGCATATAACATACACTACTACCCTACTATGTGCTTCTTTGAAGAGTGGAAACTAATCAGACTCTGAGCACACAGAAAATGCTGTGTAGAATCAATTGAATGCAAATTAAATGTCTGATCTTCAACTTTTGGCATATTATTCCTGCCTATACTCTTATTTTATCAAATTGCACTTCCCATTTTTTAAGATTAGTAAGCTTGAGAGTCATGGTTTATAGAATTGTCATCTTGATAAATAGTAGAGATTAATGCTTTCATCCAAATTATGCATTCTTTTTAGGATGATAACATTACATAATAATAGGGGCAGATTTCCAAAGTCTTGAGCAACAAAATGATCACAGAAAGACTTCTTAAATAATTCATTTCCATCTATCAAGGCTGACATGAGGCAGCGTTACCAAACAGCCTTCTTTTGACAGGATAGTCCAATAGTACAGTTCTTATTCATTGCTCTGCTACTGGCACAGGAACATTTGTGGGCATGTATCCAGGTCCCCAGGAAACTTGGAATCATTCCATGTTAAAGAACTGTAACTGTGGCTAACAAACCAGCTGCTGTATTGAGCTCAGAAGGAAGTCTTTGTAGCTGTGTGGAAGCAACTTAAGTTATTTGCATAACATCCAGCAGCCTTAGTGGGAAGGGTTGGCAGGAGCACAACAGCAGGGTAGGCATCCAGCTTTTCTTTTCTGACCGTATCTGTTGGTGATTTCATTCCTGAATGCTAGGATGAGACGAAAAGAGAGAGGAGAGAAGTGAAGAACTTGACCAAAGGCACTGTACAGGTCTGAAGAGAAGGGTACTCATGATCATATTGACAATATTCTTTGTGGAAGTAATAGTTTATTAAATTCAGCAAACAAAAGCGGTTTATAATAAATAGTACCAACATCTATAGGGGAATGTTTGTGAGCTGCTAAATTCTTACTATGGAGACAGAAAAACCTTAAAGAACAACAAATACAGGAGAATATAGTGCTGTCCATCAGCATAGGTCAGCTGTCAACCAAAATGTGCTATTGTACTGAGTTAACAGGAATTCACGGGAATGGTCATTTATAGTAAAAACAGGTAGATTTTGTCAATTAGGCCAAAATTTAGAAAAAATATTTAAAAAAAAAATTTACTAATATACCTTAAATATACTGCATCACATCTGCAAATATTTAATATTTCCAACAAAATGTCAGTCTACAGTTCCAAACCAGGCATTTCTTTGCTCTTCTGTCACACCAGCTTTACATTGTAAAGAAAAATAATTCTCTCTAAATACTACCTTTTGTAATGTACCTTTGTTTTAAAATACTCAGGCCATACTTCATCAAGTATTTAAGCCAACACCACCAAAAAAAAAAAAGTCTTGCTTTCCTGTGGCCTTCAGGCTCTCTCCTGCCTTCCACAAATACAGCTGTTTGTGAGGCCAAATGGTAAATCACATTGTGGATTTGGATTGGAAATAAATGGGGTGGTAGTGTGCATTTGTTTTTTTTTTTTTTGTTTTTTTTTTTTTTCTTTACTCTTTTCTGTTTCTCCCTCCTTCTGCCTCCCACCACCTCATCCCCAATTTAATTTCAACCTGGATTATGTTCCTGGTCCAATTCACTACTTTTGCACAAATGCTTATGACAGGGGAAGAAGAGAATGGAATTTTTGCAGGATAGCCTTGTCTGACCTTGTATGTATTTTCCCATTTTGTAAGAGATTATTTTTGGTTTTAAAAAAACGCATATACTAATGACTTCTATGAATGGTTTTTATGTAGGAAAAGGCGAGAAGGCTAGAAGGAGTAATTCACCATAATTTCAAACAAAATTGAATCAATCTTCAATAAGAAGTTAAATATCTTTCCCGATACGTGAAATTGACCTTTCTGTGTTCTCACTATTTTATATTCTTGCAGAAACAGAAAAGTTTCATTTTCCTTCAGTGTTTTTATTTGGCAAAGGTTTCTCACACTTCTATGGTTGTATAAAGAACACTCCAAGAGATGACAAAAAAGCTCTCAGCTATTCATGTTAATGTGTATCCCACAGAAGTTTTCTTGTATTTCACCTTTGTAATATTACTTGTGCCCCAAAAATATTAAGTATATTGATATATCTGAGAGCAGCCCTACAGAGAAAGACTTGGGGATATTGGTGGATGAAAAACTGAATATGACCCGGCCATGTGTACTTGCAGCCCAGAAAGCCAATTGCATCCTGGGCTGCATCAAAAGAAGGTCAAGGAACCTGATCTAGTAGAAGGTGTTCCTGCCCGTGGCAGGGAGGTTGGAACAAGATGATCTTTAAGGTGCCTTCCAACCCAAACCATTCTATGACTGATATTTTCCTTTTTGTGTTGTATTTTCATAAGTCAATGTTTAAAAATCCTACAGGCTACTTTTGAAATACTGTTTCTCTGAACACGGCAGTTGTTTAAACAATCTTTTGGACTCCTGTAAGGAACCAAAACCCTTGTTTTCATTGACATTATTGGCCATCAAACAGGAGTCCTGAGGAATTCGTATGTAATGAAAGTAAGCTGCAATGTTATATTGTTATTGTTACCCATTCCTAGTAAAAGTCACATAGAAACCATGTCAATCATGATGCTACTGTAAATCTAACTTGAGTTTATTAACCCATTTTAGTAGAAAAGTCCTAAAGTTTGCTGTATCAAATATAACTTCATGTTGATTTCTGACAAACAGAAAAAATAATCTGTCAAGTTTTAATGTATATTATTTCTTTGCCCCCC